TTATCAGGCTTATTTTGTACTGACATATCACAACAAATGCATTTAAACGATAGCGTAAGATGTGACCGATATAAAACTCACAAAAAACGTAAGAAATTGAGATATTGAAAGAGGAACACTGCGAAGTGGGTCGAAAAAAAGACTAGTTTTGATGTTTTAGTCGAAAGTTAGAAGTTTGAACAGTATTCGTGAAGTTCGTCCGTAGAAACAAAAATTTCACACTTATATCTATCATCTGAAAGAAAATTGGTTGATTAAGTTTGATAAATAGTGGAATTTTACGAGTTTACTTTTTCGGCGGACTTTTGGGATACCCTATAGATTGACTTCTATGAAAACAATAGGGAAGTTGTCAGCAAAATTTCATTTGATATATAACGCCTTCAACAAATAGATATTCTAGAAAAATATCGATTCTCTAGGATTTCGATATTCCAAAACTGATTTGAAACGGCTGTCAATAAGTCCTCAATTCTTTTATTTTAATTAGTCGAGTTGAGTCTTTTATGTGTTCACATATTCTGATTGAAAATTGAAAAATATGAATTTTCTCGATATCTTAGATATTTCTTAGAAATAGAAATATTAAAAATTGAATAACTCAATTTGTTAGAGTTATTCTCAAAAGACTAGCCAACCACTATAAGTAAAAAGTCAATGAAATTCAAGAAGCACATGTCAGTGAGTACTGATATTAGTTTTCAACTTCATATCTACAAAGTTTTTATATGAACAATTGAAAAATAAGCTTTTACCGACAGAGCGAAATTGTTCATGAAGATTTGAGTAAAAGTTGTCTATCTCAATAAAATCCTAATATAGGATCCCATCACCTTCAACTTTTCTTAGTCAATCTCTTATACTTATATGCAATATATTGAATAATCAACAGAAAGAATCACTTCGAACAGTTAATTCATTAGTCAACATATATCTAATATAGTTTATATCCTATTCAAATTGAGGTCTTCGTTTTTACAAACTGTTTTCCTGAATCGTGCCTGTGAAGATTTGGATTGGTATTTTACTTTATTTGTTTTCTTTTTAGGACGAGAAAGATAAAAGTGAACGTTTGGCTGACTATGGAAAAGAATTACTTGAATTAGCTAAAACTGGTGTTACGATTGATTCTCAAATGGCACAACAGATTGCTCAAAAACATAACGTTTTATGAACAACGAAAAAACAATGTTTTTTTTTTGATTGTCTTTTTATTCTCTGCTGACAAAAAATACAGATGGTTATTATTTGAATTTTTCTCAACGATCAACTTGACATATTCTATAGATCTAAAAGAAAAAAACAACGTAGATAATAAGAATACTATTCATATCATAGATGTGAAAAAAATTGTCATCTTTACATAATTGTTTTCTCGTAGAAAAATATCTATAGTAGTTCAATTCCTGATATTTATACTGGTAGATCATTAATCAGTTCTATAAATAGAAGAATACTCTAGATTAACTGTCTGCTTTTTAGCTCGATTTATCAATATTTTTCTTGAAATGAAGAAAACTGATTTAAGTTAAAATAGCAGTAACTTGACGATAAAACAAAATGAAGATAGTTACTTTAAATAATTATATTCAACAATGTTTCTCTATTTCAATAATTTTCAAGATGAAAATAAATAGATTTCGAATGTATCATTATAATTGTGGATTCTACTGATCGACTGTGATTAACTGATATTTTTCATTAGTTTTCACATCTTTGTTTGAATAGAATTATTTCTGAGTATTATAGATCTATCAAGAAACATGGATATATGAAATCTTGATAAAGAAATTCAATAATAACAAAGCATAAATATTCTTAAATGGGAATGCTTACGAATAACTCGATGATAAATTTTCGATGATTTATTCATTCGTTTTTAGTATGATTATTTAAAAAGAAAAAAAAATGATTTGTTTGTTTGATTAATGAGAAGTTTTTCTGATAAAATATTTCTTTCTTTTTTCGATTTTTTTTAATTTATTTTCTTATACCTATTTCCAATTGATTAATGTCGAATAGTTGAAAATATATTTTGAAAAATCTTTTTTGCTATTCGTCAATATCTCAAAAACAATCATTCTTTTCTTTTTTTTTCTTTTCTTATAAAATAATTTTTGAAAAAATTCTCTCAACTGTAGTAAGGCTCATATGAAATAAAATGA